AGTTGCTAGTGATGATAAATCTTATTGTAAAAATCTATTTCATAATCTATCGAATATTTTTGTTACACCACAATCATTTTCTATTGGGGATGATTTAATTACACTTTCACTTTGTGAACATTCAATCATAACAGGTGGAACATTTGGATGGTGGACAGGTTATCTTGCTAATGGTCAAGTAGTTCATGATAAAATATATCCATCTGGATGTGAAAGACGGGAATATTACTATCCACCATGGTTTCTGATAGATGGAAAAGTTCGAGCCCATAAAAATAGTAAAAACATTTTGTAATGAAAAAATAAAAGGAAAAGTTTTATCAAAATAATAGAACACATAATGATACTAGTTTATGTATATCAATAGGATGTTGTTACTGCTCAGGGTTTCTTAGTTCCTAATGTAACAATCAATCGAACATCAGAGTATTAGGGTGGGTGTGGATGTGGGTGTCTGAGGGTGTCGGTGTGGATGTGGGTGTCTGAGGGTGCGGGTGTGGGTATATATCGAGAGACAGTTGACATCCACACCTACACCCACCCAATTTTCTAAAGCCTTTTAGAGTCTAGGACTAATCTACTAAATCCTTTTATGGTATAGGATCGATCTCCTCAAACCATTTTTAGGATATGAGATTGATCTTTTAAATCCTTGCACGTATACGATAGATCTCCTCAACCATTTTTTATAGTATAGGGTCGATCTACTAAATCACTTTAGGTATGGAATAGATCTCCTAAACCCTTTCATAAACTCTTTTAGGGTATAGAAAAGATCTTCTAAACCCTTTAATAAATCCTTTTAATGTATAGAAGTTATCTTCTAAAGTCTTAAACAGGGTTTAATAAAGGGTGTATCATTCTCATAAACCCTTTCCTGAATCCTTGCAAAGGGTCTATGAACTTCAAATACCCTTTCATATATCCTTCACAAGGGTATATGAAAGTGTTTATGAAATTCATATGCCCTTTTCTACACCCTTATAAAAGGGTTTTGGAAAGGGTTTATAAAAATTTTGTGTAAGGTAAAAAAGGGTTTAGGCTACGTCGCACTTTCTCAAACGCTTTAAGGGCTTATTATTCTATGCTTTTTTTACAGTGTAGACAGATGATCTAGCATCACGTACTGCGAAAGGAAACTCACGATGCATGTCAGTCTTCCCTTCGCCGACAATTGTCGATGTGACAAGGCCTCTCATTCGCCAGAAAGGTCGACGAATCGTTTTGCAAGATTTGAACACGGCCACGGATTATGCTGAAAGGTTTCTAATATTAGATAGGGCTCCTAGATATATGGTGAGTGTAAAAGTTTTAGCTCAAAACAATATATTGAGTGCATGAGTATGGACGAAGAGAAAATTCTCATCCTCGCGCAATCATCGTCAATTTCTCATTTGAATAGGAGGTTAATCCTGAGTTTTGAATTGTCAGCCAGAGAAAATAATTCAAGCGATAAAAGCGTGCTAGAAAGTATATCAAAAGAAAACAGTCACAAACAGGCCAGGACCGCGTTACAGAAACAGCATGGCACATCAGTACTCGGCTACAGAAATTTCTACGGAATAAGTTATAACTTGTCAAAAAAGTCTGTTCTCGATAGAGTCAAGTATTAAGTTGCATTCGTATCTTCTAGACTACAAATATTTCATTTCCAGACTTCGTTCCTATATTTTCTTTGCGAGATGTTTACAGGGATGACAGTATGACAAATTGTAATGAGATCTGTGAAGTACTTCGCTCGGTTTTGCGAATAGAGCCAAAGTGATATAACGAAGAACGGCATCGCCCCATCGATATTTGAA